TTAATCTAATAATCAAATAATTTTTACCTCATACTTCTATTATTTTGTTTTCATCTTCCTTTGTTATTTTTAATTCTTATTTAATTGAATTCATAATCTTTAAAAATCAAAGTTAAAAATTATCAACTATTATTTCAATAAAAAATCAAATCATAGTTATTCTTAATATGTAAGATCTATATGAAATATTATAAAATAAAAAAATACTTAACAATTCTTCTTTTTTTTTTTTACCTAAATCTTGGCCAACTCTTTCTTGTACAATTGCTTAATTTACAAAATTTTATTTTATGGTTTTTTTTCTTATCCCTTCTATCATTACCAATTTCTCGTCATTTTTTTCTGTTCTTATTCTATTCTTTAACTTTTATTGCAAACAATTTTGATATATTAATATAAGTACTCAAATTAAAGTTAAAAAAAAAAAGTGATTTGAATGAAATTTTAGTACAATTGAATATATATTCCCAAATATATGTTGCAATAATATTGGATGCATACACAATTTAGAAGAAATGTGAAGTTAAATTTATATTTAGAAGACTAAAAGGTTAATAATAGTATAATATGAATAAAATAAGAAACATAATATCTTTTTGCAAAAAGAAAAAAAATAATATTTTCATATGACTTGATTTCTATCAAATTCATACATTTTTTATTCAATTCAGTGATGAATCAACAATTTTATTACTCTAATTGACTCCAATCCCATGAGTAAAATTCTCTTCTTAACACATACAAAAAAAATATATATATATATAGTCTACGAAGGAAAAAAAATGCATAAATTTTAAACACATAAAATTATAAAATTCTTTTAGAAGAACAACATCATATGTTTTATAAAAAAATTCATAAAAGAGAATAGTAATCTTTGTTTCATACAACAATATACATATTTTGGCTAAAGAAGAAAAATGGCATAAGAAAAAAAATAGTATATTATATTTAGTTACAATATGAAACATGGGAAAAAAAAGAAGAAGAAGAAGAAAATATTTGGAACTCATCACATTAATAAAAAGAAATTATAGAGATGAAAAGGAGAATATGATATATTGGTATAGAGAAAGTGACTAATGATTAGAGGTGGGGAGAAAGATGGAAAGATAAGAAGATGGAAGGGCATAAAGAAAAATCATGGAAAAAAAGATGTCATCAAAGATCATGGGAGGGTATGCATTTATACATTTAAAAATTGACTCTTCATTTTTTTCATTTAAGTGTTTTTAAATATTTAAATTTTTTGTTTTTTATATTAAGATAACGGTTACCTCATCCACCACATTTATTCATCAATTGTTTTTATCATTTACAATTTTCAATTATTTGCCTATCTATCACTTTTATTATCCTTTATAATTTTCATTTCTTTTTGTCATTTATTTACAATTTATAATTTTCATATATTTTTCATATTTTGTTTCAACATTTTAAATTAATATAATATAATATTTTAAATAAATGCATACTCTATTTAATGAAATTGGGTATAAATTTTGTATATGCATATTTTGCATACCTTATAATATTGATCTAAATTG